TCGTCGAGCGCCCTTTAGTCGAACGCGGTTTTGTGGTGGAACCCAGAACTGTATTGGTTGGAAACATGCAGAAGAGGCCTTTACCCTGCAGTGGATAGACAGTGGCTAAAATGATTATATGTATATGTATGTACATACATACATACATACATACATACATACATACATACATACATACATACATACATATGATAATAAAATAAACATGTTGCTTTTCATCTAATTATCAAAGTATTGATGAAAATATGCATGTGTGTATCCTAATATTACCTTTTCATTCTTGGTATTCATATGTGTGTCTGTGTGTATACATACATACACACTTACACACACACACACATACATGAATCAGTTCCTTTTAGCTATGTCAGTGTGGCTTGTGGGGGACAGAGCATCAGAAGTTTAATTTTCACTTTTAATTATTTAGGATAGGTAAGTAAATGTGCTCAGTGAGAACATTTGGAATTTTGAAAAAATGTTCTGGATGCTCTAATAAAACAGCTGATATACCTATTCATAATTGATGAGAATGGAGGCATCGCCAAGCACCAAACATCTATTTACCTCAAGTCAAACTGTTGTGATTACTTCCCATCCTTTTCCTTTATCATACGATGCTCTCTTATCACCACAGAATATTTCTGTTTTCCTGATACGCTAAGTTTTCTATGACTATTATTGTAAGATAAGAATGCAGCTTTTTATTACCTATAAATGTGCTCCATATGTCTTTTCCCAAAAAATGTTTGAAGGCATGTTGGCAGAGTTTTAATTTTTCTACTGTTACTGTTAACTACAGGACCTATACTTGAGAATAAGCAAAACAGATTAGGGTGTTTTATATATGGTGGAGACTTTCATCATCAAAATTCAGTAGAATACATAATAAAGTGATGGTTTTGTTTTTCATGTTGCCAATAGCTAATATCAAAAGTTGGACTGAAAGTTATCGTAGATGAACGCTATTGATTGCAGGCCAACTGCATATTTAACCAGTGAACCTACCATTTTTTTACTGCTGAACCTCTCCAAGATGCTAGTGCAGGTTCTAAATATATCTTAAGTGATTAAAAAAACATATGTTAGACCATGGGTCAACTTAACAAATCTAGAAAAATGGTGCTTGAGGAGGTAGTGGTATAGAAATAGGGTACTTTTCCTATCTAATATGCATGATAGCCTAAGGTGACTTTTAATTGTTTAGTGATAAGGAAGTAGTTTTTTTAATGTGGACCTCAAAATCTTACATGCAACATATAATTGCATTCAGTAAACAGTCTAAAAACGCCATGCTGGGTTGAACAAAAGAATTGGTAAGATTTTTCCTTCTCATTAATTAGATTTATGAATATGCAACGTAATATCAAGATCCAATGTTTTGAATAACATTTCTTTTTTTATCTATCCAATAGAAGCAATGTCTTCCTTCAATACACTTCTTAAAAATGGTAGGACACCCAGTCAACTAACAATTACTCGGCTTGTCCAGGCATTCGCTCAGAAGGGAGATAAAGAGAGTATAAGGGAAATTGAGAAATTAATAGAACCCCTCCATGGGATTCTTAAATTTCCAAGAATGCTTTTCATCAACAACACTGCGTTGGCTCACATCAAAAAGTAGGTAACTCGATAATTGGTACCACTTCTTTGTATTAGTAGGGAAGTAGGGTTACAGTGATCTTGCTGTCTTATAAATAATATTTTCTTCATAAGTTTTAAATACTTGAATTGGCTGCCATTGAAGATTCTTAGCCTAAAAACAATAAAAGTTGGAGTCTATTTAATGAAATGCAAAAAATGCAGATTATTGGATAGGTGAACTTTTGCAATAGGCTAATGGTATCAAACTCTTTTCGCCCCTTCAATTGTGTCCACTTGTAAGACTGCCAGCAGAAGTCCTTGCCATTTTCTTGGCAAGTTTTTATAGAAGTGGTTTGCCATTACATCCTTCCTAGGACTGAATGAAAGTGACTGGCCGTCTTCATGCAGGAGTAGAACTCATGGTCTCCCAGGTTCTAGCCTGACACCTGCTACACTAAACTGACTCTCCTATTAAACATACATGTTTATAAAATTCTGTCTACCTAAATGAAACGTTGACGTAAGCTAATTCTTGCTAATACTGTAATTTACAGCATAGTGCATAACTTTATAGCAGTACGTTTTACAGGTGTGTTAAAATTGTTTTGCACTCCTGTTATAATGAAGAATAATAAAAGATTAGTATAAAGATTGTGAGTATCTTAAAATAAATAATAAATATTTGTCTAATGGAATGTTTGAAAATTATTTTCAGCTAATAAAAGATTTGGGAGTATTACATTCCAATTATACTGCCTCTCTTCTCTTTACAGTATTAGTGCATAAAAATCAACAGTGGGTTTTCTGATGTATACTGGCTTCATTGAATGGTTTAATAGTATTTATTTAATATGGAATGTTGGCTTATATCCATAAAATCTCTGCTTCTGTATGCACTGAAGATATTTTAAATATACCAATTAGCCAAATCCTGTCCTATTTATTTCACTCTTATACCAGCCTCTCAAATAAATTTGGTTCCTTTCACACAGTCAGTAGTTTGGTAGAATATGCTACAGATATGTATACCCCAGACATATATTGATGAAGCTTGGTAGAAAGATTGAATAATCATTTTACTAGATTCATGTCCATGTTCATGCTTTCTGTTTCTGGACATGGATTAGCATCCTTCTAAGGAGAAATAAGCTTTGCAAATTCTTAATACCATAGTATCCAAAATCCTTCATTAAAAGCAGTTTTAAAAAACTAGTCTTTTGGAAATACTTGAAGGATCAATCTTTTCTTTTAAACATCAGTTTAACATCAAGAAAAGTCCAAAGTACAAATATAAGGTAGTGTCAGGTAGAAGAACATGGTAACAAACAGTCAGTACAAACCTTTTGCCATTTTATAGCCCAGTTACTCATTTGCTGTAGTCCATTTTTATCAATCAATTCAGACATCATGTCAGCTGTCTCCAGGGAGAAAATGTTGCTGCATTTAGAATCAGGTACCTTTCTAAATTAGCAGTTAACTATGAACTTTCAGATGTTTTCCGGTATCTTAGGCAAGTTATTCGCCTAAGTGTATCCACATATTGTTGCAGCCAGACTCTAAAGAGCTGTAATCTGAAACTCTTTAAAATCAAAGGCACAATAGATTGTGTTTATTTAAGTTCTTACAGTACTTTCATCCTATGTTGCCATTTCTATTACACTAGAAAGTAAAAATATATGTGAACAAAACCATTAAACCTATATCCATGAGTAGGCCCAGAAGGACACAAAGGTGCAAATTTCACACATTCATTATGATGCAAATGATGAGGCCAACATACTTGTGTCAGATATTGTGACATGAATTCTATCCTTTCTGCAATGATATCACAGCACATGTATCTTCATTTTGATATCAGCCTGGTTGTTACAGGCACTGATGAGCATATCACATTTAATATAGTTGTGTCTACATCCAAAATGGTAACTCTGGAAAAGTCAAGAAAGTAATAATTATAAACACACTGTTTTTTCCTGTAACTTTTGTTTTCTGGGAATATTTTTTTAATTTTTACTTCCCCATATTTCAAAGGTAACTAACCCATGTGTTATCTTGTTCTGTTACCAAAAGACTCATGTTATTCAACAGTAGAAGAGGTTATAGTTCATTTCTGAAGGAAATGGCATTAGTGCTGATGTTATGCACTCGCCCATAAATGTGTTTCACTTTATGTTATAACAGTATCTGCATGAGTGGATTGATAAGTACTTTTAACATTGCTATTCTGTGGAATATTAATGTAGTAATAGAATAAAACATTCATGGTCTTGCTTTATTGAACTCTTAACGTTAGCGACTTAGCTAATGCAGCTTTTTATTTTCACCAGCAATAACTACGATGCTGCCACAGAATACATTGAGGAGAAATTCATTTCTAGACAACTGACTGAAGATGCAAACCTGTCCTTTGTATTCAGAAAATTGATAGAAGACAAAGAGGAAACAGCTTTGGAAAAATGTAAGTTAGTGTAGCAAAAATAGTCCTCTGGTTTACAAAAAAACTTCAGTAGCTGTTTCTGAAAGTCTTTCCTACTTGGTCAGTTTTTGAAGCAAACAGTGTTTTTAAACGTTAAAAGTAAAGGTAAAGGTTCCCTTGCACATATGTGCTAGTCATTCTCGACTCTAGGGGGCGGTGCTCATCTCCGTTTCAAAGCCAAAGAGCCAG